CTCCCAATGGAATGAAGGCTTTTGATCTCCTTCCCTTGAAGCCTAGCTTGGTGGCTGCATCTGTGATAAGTCAGCGCCACTGAGCCTGGCTAGTGCTCTTAGGAAATGTGTGTATAGGACTCTTCTGTGGCTTTCAAATGAATGGAAAGTGCAAACTTTCTGGGTAGGGCAAGGCATTTGGGGTGCAATATCCTATTAACTGGAAATGAGGGCAGGCCACCTCTGGACTATAGAATGGTGGGCAGTTAAGGACGTGGCAGGGACGGTCCAGGAGGGAAAGCCACACGGCAAGATTCACTGGACACTGAGAGCCATGGTGGGTGATGAATCCCCTGGAGGCCGTCAGCTGGACCAAAGGCTGTCTCTGTGTGCTTGGAAGAATGAACAATTTGTATATTGTTAAGTGGGACTCCATTTAAACAGAGGTTAAATCTACCCATTCTTATAGAAAACCAAGCCCAAGCAAGCAATATCAGGGAGAGCAAACTGCTGGCATATAAGCCAGCACTGCTCTTCTGGTGCCCATTCTAGACATCACTAATCTATTGCGGCATTCTTCACAGAGAGTCCCAGCTTCACTCACATGTCCTGTACCACTATGTACTGGTGTGGGATGAGTCCATCTACGCCATTGTGCCGGCCCTCCCACCAGTCCTCCGAGGCGCGGTGGTACAGGAACAGTGAGGCCCCCTTCTTGAAGGACAGCTCACGTGGGGACCTCCCCATGTAGTCAAACTTGGAAATAGCCTCGATCTGCTCCACTTCTGGAAGGAAAGTAAAGGAAAGAGCATCCTTGGTCAGTAGAAGGGCATCCTGGGTGCCTTACTCAGATGGCCCTGGCTTCTATGGGGAAGGACAGACAGCACACCTGGTGCGAACATGTGGGCTGGGGCTCAGGACACCAGGATTCCAGGCTCAGGAAGTCCGGGTTCTAGGCTCAGATCCACCCTCTACTCTGTGACCTCAGGCATGCCACCAAACCTCCCAAATGTAAACTGGAAATGGACATACCAGGTCTTTATTTTCCACTGTCCCTCTTGCTCTCTGTTTTGAAATGCTCAATTAAAACAATATCTTTAAAAAATCTTATTATTCCATAACACAAGTTTTATCTCCATGTTTCCACGAACCCCTTCCCTCTTTGTTCACTTATGATACTTTCAGTGGTTCTTAACCTTTTGGGAGGTCAAGCAAATGGTGTATATGTAGACCCCCATCTGCAAAATGTGGTTCCCAGACTCTTCAAAGTTCATTGCTAAGGGGTGAATTGTGCCTCTCCCCCAAAATTCATGTGCTGAAGCCCTAACCACCAAAGTGACTATATTTGGAGATAGTGCCTTTAATTAAGGTAACTGAGGTGATTAAAGTTAAATGAGGTCATAAGGGTGGGGCCCTGATCCAACAGGACCCCCTTTATAAGAAGAGAGATGCCAGAGATCTCTCTCCATGCATGAGTAGAGGAACGGACATGTGAGGACAGTGAGAAGGAGGCCATCTATACATCAGGAAGAGAAGCATCACCAGAAATCAACCCTGATGGAACGAACCTTGATCTTGGACCTCCAGTCTCCAGAACCATCAGAAAATATATTGCTATTGTTTAAACCACCCAGCGTATGATATTTTATTATGGCAGCCTTAGAAAACTAATGCACTCATCTGTGGACTTAATTTGGAGGAGGGGAAATTCTTACCGACACCACAGCTGAAGCATGTCTACTTACCAAATGTCTCCAGACAGTGACAGGCCCTGACTAGATTAAGCAATGAGCATATATATACAGCTCTCTCACCTCTGTCCCTGTGACTTCAGGTAGATTATATAACCTCTGTATACTCCAGCTATCTGTGAGGACGGTTAGGAGGATTAAAAGTTCTTGCAAAAAAGTGCACAACACAGTATAGACATACGGGAGGTGTTCAATGGATAGCAGCTGGCATGTTTGTGACTGTAGTTATTAGTGGATTTGTCCTATGGGATAGGTCCAGAGACGAGATCTAAATGCAGAGAGAGTTTAAGTGGTTTCCTAGGACCATATAACTGGTGATATTTGGAAAAGGTATTTTTCTGGGAAGCATGTGGATTGTGCTTATAATTTATTTCATCCATGTTATAGTTTATACCCTAAAAGGTACCCATACTTGGTAGAAAACTAAGCGTGTATAGGTATTAATTTTTTTTATATTTTAAAGCCAGGTCAGAGGTGTTTGGTATTATTTAATTTTTTTTTTTTTGCCAGGCATGGTGGCTCACATGGGAATCCCAGTACTGGGGTTGGCAGATAGCTTGAGCCCAGGAGTTCGAGACCAGTCTGGACAACATAGTGAAACCTCAGCTCCACCAAAAAAAAAAAAAAGCTGTGTGTGGTGGCACAAGTTTGTGGTGTCCCAGCGACTCAGGGGGCTGATGTGGAAAGATGGCCTGAGCCCAGGACTTCAAAGCAGCCACGAGCAGCCATTGTCATGATCACACCACTGCACTCCAGCCTGGGCGACAGAGTGAGACTCCTACTCCAAAATGAGACCCAAACTACCTGTACAATGAACATTTGTATATCTAATCCTGAATTGTACCCCCATATCCTTAAAATAAAAATTTAAAAATTTTTTAAAAAAGAATGGAAGAGTAACAAAAGCAATCCCTGCTCTCTGTAGCCTGCAGGTAGATTCCCTCCTCTGAGCTCCCTTGGGACTCTCTACCAGCTCTATTAACTATGGATGATCTTGCCTCTGTCTATCTGTCCTTCACGTAGTGAAGGTCAGAACATCTGGCTTTATCACTTCGTGGCTGTGTGAGCTTGGGCACCTTAGTTTTTCTTTCCAAGTCTCAGTTTTCTCATCTGTTAAATGGAAGTGATGATAATAGTACCTACCCTACAGGGTTGTTAGGAGGATTAAGCAAACTTAGACACATGAAGTTCTTGTAGCAGTGCCTGGCACATGGTTACTCTATATGAGTTATGCACTTCATATGAGAGGCTGACGCACATCTAAGAGCCACAGCATGGACAATCAAAGAGCAGAGGGAGAAAACTACTGCTCATCCCCCCTCTTGCCCCCCACCACATACACACTAGGGCTCCCCTCTGTTCTAGCCAGCTCAAAAAGCCTGTGCCTGTGACCCTGTGACATGTAGTGACTTTGGGATGCATCCAGCCCTCAGTGACTCAGACAGCCCTCTGCAGAGAGCAGACCTCAAACAGTTAAGTCAGCTTTCCCCAGCTGGCTCCCTGACAAATGTCTTTAGATGCTATTCTGACACAGGTGAAGGGAGGGAGGAAGAAACGACAGTACAGCTAAATGGGTCAAATTAACTCAAATCTTGGCTCAGAGTCACCTTCTTAGTAAAACAGGGAGCTCTCCAGTCCTCTCTGTGGCATCTTTGAATCTCAAGCCCAGCCTTGGGCTGGAACTGCCTGGTCTGTCTGCCTGCCTAGCTCCGAGAGACAGAAAGGCCGGAGGGTTTGCAAGACCAGGAGCTGAGCCCAGACAGCTGCATACTCTTGAGGGTTCACCCCAGGACTTCCTCTGACCCAGATTCACCACACTGATAGAGCGCTGACCCACACAGAGATTTGCTGATGCTCAGAGGAGCATGGAGGGGCTGCCTCGGGTTCCTCATTTCTGCCCTTCCCATCCCCAGAGCCTCCAGCGGTCACTGGATGGCAGTCTGAAGTTGAAGGCCTGGATAGGGGGTGGGGGACTAGAAAACACTGGGGGAAGAAGAAAGGAGCTGAACTGCAAGCTAAGAGAGAGCACGTGTGTTTGCAGATGGCCTTGCATAAGTGTGTGTGGTAGAAACAGGAACAATAGCCCCACTGATGAGTAAGTCTGTTATTTGGGTTTCTCCTACCTGAAACAGAATATGTGATTCTTCCCCTCACCCCTCTCCCACTCTGCTACCCAGATTTATGCAATGCCCCATCTCAAGAGGCAGAACCACTGTTTACCCGCTTGCTCTCGACACGGTCTCAGCATGGCTCCTGAGCGCCACACACCTAATCCATCAGCGACTCCTTCCAGCTGTCCCTTGGATCTGCCCATGGCTCACTGCCCCTGTGTGCCACCGTGGTCAAAGCCATTGTTTACCCCCTGCCTGGCCACTTCACTGCCAAACTTGCTTGGTAGAGCCAGGGGATCTTTTAAAACCATAAATCAGGTCATAAAATGCCCTCAGAACCCTCCGAAGCCTTCCCACTTTGCTTAGAACAAACCCCAATGTCTCGTGAGGCCCTCCATGCCATGAGTCCCAAAGACCTCTGAGACCTCATCTTCTACATCTCCCTCTCTCTCTCTCTCTCCCCTCCCCCCAATCTGCTCTTGCATCACTAGGCTTCTTGCTGTTTCTCCTCCAGTATCATAGTATGACATGTTTCAAACATAAAGT